AGAATGAAAACACTAACTGAAACAAAGAAGGATAAAACGTGGAAAGAGTCAGTTTCTTACCTTGCCCCCCAACCCTACTCCATGCTTCCGAATCGCTGACCGAGGCGAAGGTGATGTCACGGCGTCGTGAGAAAGCTAAGGGGGTCAATCTTGCCAGAATGTACCCCCGTTTACCGCTTGATCCCGGGGTAAGGCCATCACCCCCCTCCCAACCCTACTCCATGCCCGAGGCGAAGGTGATGTCACGGAATCCTGAGAAAGTTTAGGGGGGCCAAATCTTGCCAGAATGTTCCCCCGTTTACCGCTTGATCCCGGGGTAAGGCCATCAATTAATTCTTACCAGAATGTACCCTTGTTTACCACTTGATCCCGGGGTAAGGTCATCACCGGCGCCTACAGGAAGCAGTCAGAAGTTGGGGTGTAGGGTAACTTTTTGTTTTAGGGGGTGGAGGGCTTCAAGGTAACAAAACACTCAATAATCGGGAGAGAGCGTGTGATCAGCAGTGACGTCAGACATATCAGGGGCCCCTCTTAGATTTCAAGTAGTCGTATTCTTCCCAAAGCCCGGCGGTGACAGGTTCTCTTTACCTCAGGTTCTGTCACCGTCCTCTGGCAGCTCCTCCTTGGCACGGATTCAGTATTGCATCAGATGTGGTGCAGAGTTGGCACACCTTGGAAAGCCATTGTGGCATTGTAGGTCCCGGGGGGGGGGGGGGGGGTGTCATTGTTCTGTCAGTGACACGCTGAGACACAATCTTCTATTATATAATAGGAAGTGTCAGGCCGCGGAGCCCGCCGGTGTTTGATTGCTTTCTGTCAAGTTTGTTCTTCATCATCCATGCGGAAAGCGGCGGCCATTTTCTTTGTATTATTGTTCTCTCCTGTAGCTGTATCCAGCCCCCTCGTGTTCCGGCTTTTCCTGCATGTTGGTGGGCAGGCGACTCAAGCTGACCAGCGCGGTCTCTTTGTTGAATAGCAACGTTTAGTATTGAAGTGCATGTTAAATGTTTTGGATAGAGCGGGGAAGGGTTAGGTCGCTGCGTGTCCCCTCCGGGTGACACACAGGTGACCACTTTGACTAGGACAGAAGCTGTTTAAGAACCTCAATATTCTGGTTGTCACTGGATACTAGAGGTGAGGGGACATGGGTCACGGTGACTACTTTCACTAGGACTTGAATATTCTCGTTGTCTCTGGATACTAGAGGTGAGGGGAGATTGTCCAATAGGAAGACTTGTTGTCTGATAGGAGATTTCCCTCACTTAGGAGAAAAGATGCTCACTTCCTGTTCTGTCTCCCGGAGAGGAAGTGAAGGGAAAATTCCCCTGAAGTGCTGACCAGCTGACAACAAGTTTAAACAGACAGGAAATGAGCGGAAAATCTCCACCAGCAACCCAGACGGAAATAGAAATCATCTTCTATAGGAGCCCCCTGTTAATGTTTGTTGCTGTGTCCCAGTTGCAGGTTATTCCTCATTTCCTGTTTGGGGAAACCGTTGCCAGCAGGACAGGAAGTAAGGGGAAATCTGTATCGGAGCAGTAAAAACCTTACAGTGGTTCTAATCCTTCCCAACGCTATCCAAAACAAGCTCTTCGTACACTTTAAGATGGTCCCGGTATTCCCTGTTGACGTTCTTTCATGGGGCAGGAAGTCAATTGCGAGCCCCAAATCCCTCCCTCCCAACAACACTACTTTTATGTCAGTTTTTTTAAATCTGTTCACAAATCTATTGCGAAATATGAACTAGTTTATGGCCCTTGAAGGAGGACTCAGAGCAGGGGGTCAGTAACCTTGAAACTACAAATCCCATGATGCTTCTGACTCTGGGAGCCATGCCTGTGGCTGTCAGGGTCTTGCATTGCCTGGTTGGAGTTGTAGTTGCCAGTGCCAAGGTTGGCGACCCCTGACTTGGAGACACAAGATGTAGCGGATGTCAATATTTAAAGTTAGGTTTCTAGGACTGGGGTTATATATGTTTATATTACAAATCTAGATCCACGTTGGGGTGAAGGCATCTGAAGTCAACCCTCTGCCACGCAAGGTACGGTTTACAACACTTGCTGCCCACGCCGGTAGGTCAAGAAATCTCCCCCCACCGTCTTTCTGGTTTTGGTACGGCCCCTCGGCTGGCGCCACACTACCATATAAGGTGTTTTGCGGGAGTTTGCCGGGCGGTATGCACTGCCCCCTTGTGGCATGTCTTATCATTACATTGTATATAGCAGAATGCCTTTGTACATAATTTTACATTCTGGCGGGTTACATTTTTTTTTTTTTGGGACTGATTGACGTGTGTGTTGTGTACAACATGTGCATTATATCTGGGAGGGGGTTAGTCAAATGTTTTGCAATTAAAATTTCTGAAGATGTGAAACCAGAACTGGTTGTGTTGCTTTTTTTTTTTTCCATCCCATGACATCCGTGAGCTATATCCGTAAGGGCGTGTTATAATTAAGTCTACACCCTAAATGGCTGACCTCTGGTCCACTAAAACTGTGTGTATCATTAACAATTGCCACATATATTTATCATAAGGTCATATTTACTGATTGTTTACACTTTTATTGCATCTCAGTGCTGCAGATCTCCGCCAGTCACTTCCTGTCTACATGCACTCACTCCAGCATTGGCTGCACATCATAGACCTGGACCAGTTACATGATGGTGACAACGGCGGTCTGTGTCTGGGCAAAATGTGTTGTCACAGCTGCTTGTAGTCCTCATCGGGGAACATGTGACACAGTGGCAATGCAGGAGCACAATGGGCAGACTGTGGTCACCTTATACAGTGACTGAGGCCTGTGCCAAGATTGTGCAGAAATATTTTATATCATCGCCACATCTATTTTTTTTATAAACACCCCGATAGATCATAACATAACCACTGAGAGGTGAATTGTAGGGCAGTGTGATGCTTTGGGCAATGTTCTGCTGGGAGACCTTGGGTCCTGCCATTCATGTGGATGTTACTTTGACATGTACCGCCGACCTAGACATTGTTGGTGACCAAGCACACCCCTTCATGGAACTGGTATTCCCTGATGGCAGTGGCCTCTCTCAGCAGGATAATGATACCACAGCATACCTTCAGAGGTCTAGTGGAGTCCATGCCTGGACGGGTCAGGAAAAGGGGTGACTACTCAATATTAGTGGGCGTCATCCAGATACAGCATACCTTCAGAGGTCTAGTGGAGTCCATGCCTGGAAGGATCAGGAAAGGGGGTGACTACTAAATATTGGGAGACGTCATACAGATACTACAGCATACCTTCAGAGGTCTAGTGGAGTCCATGCCTGGTCAGGAAAAGGGGTGGCTACTCAATATTAGGGGGGTCGTCACCCAGATACCACAGCATACCTTCAGAGGTCCAGTGGCGTCCATGGCTGGACGGGTCAGGAGAAGGTACTACTCAATATTAGGGGGCGTCATCCAGATACCACAGCATACCTTCAGAGGTCTAGTGGAGTCCATGCCTCGACGGGTCAGGAAAAGGTACTACTCAATATTGGGAGGGGTCATCCAGATACCACAGCATACCTTCAGAGGTCTAGTGGAGTCCATGCCTGGATGGGTCAGGAAAGGGGGTGACTACTCAATATTGGGAGGGGCCATCCAGATACCACAGCATACCTTCAGAGGTCTAGTGGAGTCCATACGTGGATGGGTCAGGAAAGGGGGTGACTACTCAATTTTAGGGGGGTCGTCATCCAGATACCACAGCATACCTTCAAAGGTCCAGTGGCTTCCATGGCTGGACGGGTCAGGAGAAGAGGGGACTACTCAATATTAGGAGGCGTCATCCAGATACCACTGCATACCTTCAGAGGTCTAGTGGAGTCCATGCCTGGGCAAGAAAGGGGGTGACTACTCAATATTAGGGGGGGTCGTCATCCAGATACCACAGGATGGGCTCAGCTGCATTCCAAACCTGAACTCCAAACCCAGAAGTAGCTCCTGAACATAGGAGGAAGTTAGTAGGGATGAGCTACTCCGAACAAAATCCGCTGGCGTCCGGACATTCTCATCTATGCAGATGCATGTAAACAAAGGGGCGGGATGCAGTGACATCATTGACCTTATGCAGCTACATGCCTATATTTGGTAATTACCTTATATGGCTATGTGACCGTATAAGGTTAATGACATCAGCACCAGCATCCAGCCCCCTTTGCTTACATGCAGCTGAGGGGAGGGGAATGCCCATGATCCCCATTGGATGCCTTGCAGTTATGAGCTGCAGGTTAAGGGTCGGGACTGTAACAAATGGTGCATGCATGGACTGGTGAGCCATTCCCTTTACTAGCCCACACAGCAGACTGTATAGCCAGCACTATATCGAAACAATTCATTTCTGCTTATCGGCCCATGAAGTCTTTACAGCATGTACATACAGAGGGAAACAATCCCACCATGCAGGGTCTGCCGCAGCTCACAATCAGCAGGACAGGAAGTGAGGGCAAATCTCTCTAACGGAGCCCCAGATAGCAGCGAAGACCTGCCAGTGGTTCTGACCACTCTCCCACTCTATCCCACTTCTAAAAAGTTCTATGTCCTTGTCCTAAAGCTGCCCCAGAAGCAAAAAATGGCCCCAAGGTTAGTCCGCTGGGCACACACAACCTGCTGTATTTACCGAGGCGTCTCCATCATCAGGCTTCCTATACAAATATATGAACAGCGGGAACTGGTGATGTAATCGGACTAAGTCAATAGGAAACAGCCAAGCAGATTGAGCGTTCAAACACCTTCAGATATCGCTCTGTCTCTTTAACCTGACATTATTATCGCTGCGTAATCAGGTAGTTCACAGGGAACCCCCGTCCTTCTACATTGTTTATTTAAGATTTAAATGTGAAATGTTTCAAGATGACATTTTCATTTAAATAGATTTATTGATGTGTGCATCAAATGCAGAAAACTACAGGAGGGGGCGGAGACAGGGCCAGTTTCCCTGCACAAGGAGAGAGCAGCAGTGACCAGTCTTTATTACAGGAGGGGGCGGAGACAAGACCAGTCACCCTTCACAAGGAGAGAGCAGCAGTGACCGGTCTTTATTACAGGAGGGGGGTGGAGACCAGACCAGGCCAGACACCCCGCACAAGGAGAGAGATTGTGGTGGGTGACACGGGGAGATTCCGCCAAAAAGAGAACCTTTCACTTTGCCCTTAAGTGACAGATTCCCTTTGATAAGGACCTGTCAGGACAGCTGTAGGGATGCTGGTATGTTATGTTAGACATCAGTGACTCGCTTAGCAGAAAAGAAAGGATGACAATGACAGACCCAGATTGTGAACCTTGAAGAACAAATGAGCAAATTTGGGGTGCCATTCAAATGAATGGCAATGCACCTCCCACACCCGAACGTGCGGTAGGTGCGATTAAGTTCTTTTTTTTTTAAATCCACCAGGTCTCCTTATCTTACCTTAGGAGAGCTGGAGTGGATCCTCAGCCTGGGGTCCAGTGTGGGCTGCTGTGCTGTGACAGAGCTCCATCCATATGTGCATTGCTTGTACAGCTCTCTTGCGCGCCCTGTTGAGGTGGCGGGAGCCAGAATGTGACGTCACTCCGGTGCAGGCACCTCCACAGGACACGCGAGGGAGCTGTACTCAATGCATGGAGCTCCCTCGCGGCCATACTTCCAGCCCACCTCAAGCTGACACTCAGCACCGCGCAGCATATTTTGAATGACTGCTCGGCGTGAGAACTGGCAGCGCTGCGCTAGGGGAGGCCGGGGAGCCTCTCACCTAGAAAAGTGGAAAGCACGCGGCAACCCACTGAACATGGAATCGCGACCCACTTTTGGGTCACGACCCACCAGTTGAGAATCAAGGGGTTAGAAGAAATGTGGTGGGGGCAAGAGGGACAAAAGGTTTTGGGTCCAAAGGAGGGCCAGTTGTGAAGGAAAGAGGGGGCGGGGGGGGAGGGGGGTGTAGGACGGGAATCTGGGCACAAAGCAGAACAGTTGTGGAAGAAAGGGCTGACCCGTTTGGGACAATATAAAGAGGCACAGTGAAATGTGAGTGGAAGAGACGGATGGAAAGGTTTGGGTCCAGAATAAGGACGGGTTGTGGAGGACAGAGGAACAGGGAAGTTGGTGGGACAGAACTTTGAGCCAGACAGAGGGCCAGATGGATTTTGTCCACATGGAGAAGAGTTGTGGAAAAATAGGGGGTCCGTGGAATGGGTCCAAAAAGGGTCAGATGGGCGTCCACATAAAAAGAAAACAAGGGCAGACATGGTACATGCATCTGAGTCCAGAAGGTACAATGGGAGCGGAGACCTTGGCCAGAGAGCTTGCAATCATTTCAAGTCGTGTCTGTGCAGGAGGAAAGTGTGTCACCTAGAAGATGACTGCTGCCTGAGGAATCCTAGGCATCTCATTATCAGTCACCGACCATTAATGACCCAGATCTGTCTCTTCAACCTTCTTCCTGCAGTGCAGCTTGTACACCAGGAACAGGAAACTCTTCTACCGCTGACACGTGGAAAAAAAAAAGTTTATGTGTGATGTAAAAAGTCTGATCCCTCCTTCCCTCCCTACCAGCCAGCCTGCGTGGGGGCTACAGAAAAGTCGCAAAGTTCCAGCTCCAGTCAACTAGCAAGAGGAGGACTTGGCATATCTGGGGGAGCTTGGTGGGAAAATGCTTCTCTGGGCTAGTGTGGGTTAAATACCCCCTTGTCCTTCTGGATGGCCACCAAAGGGGGCAAAAATGGCTACAAGAGTGATGTGGACTTGCTGTTAAAAGACGAACAGTTACAGAGCCCTCCTAGGAGCCCCCAGCATGGAGATCGGACCAAGAAGCCCAGCGGGGACCAGCACTGGTCGGAGTAAGTGGATACATCAGGATGAGTGATCTGGTGCAGGCTGTGCAACGTAGTGGGGTGCATGGAATTGCTGGGGGTGGAACTATAAGTGCCAGCAATGCATGCTTATCGTGGTGTGCTGGGGTGGAACTATAAGTGCCAGCATGCTTATCATCGTGTGCTGGGGTGGAACTATAAGTGCCAGCATGCTTATCATCGTGTGCTGGGGTGGAACTATAAGTGCCAGCATGCTTATCATCGTGTGCTGGGGTGGAACTATAAGTGCCAGCATGCTTATCATCGTGTGCTGGGGTGGAACTATAAGTGCCAGCATGCTTATCATCGTGTGCTGGGGTGGAACTATAAGTGCCAGCATGCTTATCATCGTGTGCTGGGGTGGAACTATAAGTGCCAGCATGCTTATCATCGTGTGCTGGGGTGGAACTATAAGTGCCAGCATGCTTATCATCGTGTGCTGGGGTGGAACTATAAGTGCCAGCATGCTTATCATCGTGTGCTGGGGTGGAACTATAAGTGCCAGCATGCTTATCATCGTGTGCTGGGGTGGAACTATAAGTGCCAGCATGCTTATCATCGTGTGCTGGGGTGGAACTATAAGTGCCAGCATGCTTATCATCGTGTGCTGGGGTGGAACTATAAGTGCCAGCATGCTTATCATCGTGTGCTGGGGTGGAACTATAAGTGCCAGCATGCTTATCATCGTGTGCTGGGGTGGAACTATAAGTGCCAGCATGCTTATCATCGTGTGCTGGGGTGGAACTATAAGTGCCAGCATGCTTATCATCGTGTGCTGGGGTGGAACTATAAGTGCCAGCATGCTTATCATCGTGTGCTGGGGTGGAACTATAAGTGCCAGCATGCTTATCATCGTGTGCTGGGGTGGAACTATAAGTGCCAGCATGCTTATCATCGTGTGCTGGGGTGGAACTATAAGTGCCAGCATGCTTATCATCGTGTGCTGGGGTGGAACTATAAGTGCCAGCATGCTTATCATCGTGTGCTGGGGTGGAACTATAAGTGCCAGCATGCTTATCATCGTGTGCTGGGGTGGAACTATAAGTGCCAGCATGCTTATCATCGTGTGCTGGGGTGGAACTATAAGTGCCAGCATGCTTATCATCGTGTGCTGGGGTGGAACTATAAGTGCCAGCATGCTTATCATCGTGTGCTGGGGTGGAACTATAAGTGCCAGCATGCTTATCATCGTGTGCTGGGGTGGAACTATAAGTGCCAGCATGCTTATCATCGTGTGCTGGGGTGGAACTATAAGTGCCAGCATGCTTATCATCGTGTGCTGGGGTGGAACTATAAGTGCCAGCATGCTTATCATCGTGTGCTGGGGTGGAACTATAAGTGCCAGCATGCTTATCATCGTGTGCTGGGGTGGAACTATAAGTGCCAGCATGCTTATCATCGTGTGCTGGGGTGGAACTATAAGTGCCAGCATGCTTATCATCGTGTGCTGGGGTGGAACTATAAGTGCCAGCATGCTTATCATCGTGTGCTGGGGTGGAACTATAAGTGCCAGCATGCTTATCATCGTGTGCTGGGGTGGAACTATAAGTGCCAGCATGCTTATCATCGTGTGCTGGGGTGGAACTATAAGTGCCAGCATGCTTATCATCGTGTGCTGGGGTGGAACTATAAGTGCCAGCATGCTTATCATCGTGTGCTGGGGTGGAACTATAAGTGCCAGCATGCTTATCATCGTGTGCTGGGGTGGAACTATAAGTGCCAGCATGCTTATCATCGTGTGCTGGGGTGGAACTATAAGTGCCAGCATGCTTATCATGGTGTGTTGGGGCTTGTATTGCAGGGATGGAACTATAAGTGCCAGCAGGCTTATCATGGTGTGCTGGGGGTGGAACTACAAGTGCCAGCAGGCTTATCATGGTGTGCTGGGGCTTGTATTGCTGGGATGGAACTACAAGTGCCAGCAGAGCTCCCAGAGTGTGCAGGAGCTTTTATTTTTAGGTTAAACTACATGTCTATGTGTTTCTTAGGGTGCACTGGGGCTTGTATTGCTGAGGTGGAACTGCAAGACCCAGCAAGCCTTTCTGGGTGTGCTGGGCTTGTATTGCTGTAATGGAACTACAAGAGCCAGCAAACCTTTCTGGGTGTGCTGGGCTTGTATTGCTGAGGTGGAACTGCAAGACTCAGTAGATCCCCAGGGTGGCTTTTACTTCTAGGGCAAACTACATCTCTCAATTTGTTTCTCAGGGAGTGCTGGGGCTTGTATTGCTGAGGTGGAACTACAAGACCCAGCACGCCTCTCAGGGTGTGCAGGGCTTGTATTGCCAAGGTTTTGACTACAAGAGATAGCAAGCCTCTCGGGGTGCTTGGGTTTGTATTGCTGAGGTGGAACTACAAGACCCAGCAAGCCTCTCAGGCTGTTCTGGGACTTGTAATGCTGTGGTGGAACTACAAGACCCAGCAAATCTCTCAGGGTGCTTGGGGATGTATTGCTCAGGTGGAACTACAAGACCCAGTAGACATTCCAGGGTGTGCTGGGACTTGTAATCCTGAGGTTGGAACTACAAGTCCCAGCATAACACCACAAGCGTCATCTTAACATTCAGTGTCTGCTGTGATTTGTAGTTACAGTGTATTTAGAGTTCCAGAACTGGATTTGACCTAAATATTTACTTTGGGCCCTTGTGGTTTATTGATCTCCATGTTTTACAACACTGGAAGGAGATTTGTGGTCACAGAGCATCCAGGGCACTTGTTTTTTAAGGAAGACTGGTAAAGTCCATGTAAAGAAGGACGGTGAAAGTGACAGCATAGAAAGGATTCAGCTGACAAGATTTATGGCGGGATCAACAGCTAGGTTTTCTTTTACATTTATTGAACAGATGCAGCAAAAGGCTTTCAAAAGGGAGCAAATGGAAGGAGTTTATGAGAGCAGCATGGAGGGTGCCTGGCTGTCATGCTGACTTCTTGCTTCAGTACTGTCACAAGAATGCCTATTAGGAATGTCCATTATCTACAGTACATGGTGTGTCCAGATTAGTGACTCCTACTCCAAGCCGCCCTTCTCCTACCATTCTCCTACTCCAAGCCGCCCTTCTCCTACCATTCTCCTACTCCAAGCCGCCCTTCTCCTACCATTCTCCTACTCCAAGACGCCCTTCTCCTCTGTGCTATCCTTCTCCTACTCCATGCTGCCCTTCTCCTACCATTCTCCTCCTCCAAGCCGCCCTTCTCCTCTGGGCTACCATTCTCCTACTCCATGCTGCCCTTCTCCTCTCCTCTGGGCCACCCTTCTCTACTCCAAGCCGCCCTCCTCCTACCATTCTCCTTCTCGTACTCCAAGCCGCCCTTCTCCTCTGGGCTACCATTCTCCTACTCCATGCTGCCCTTCTCCTCTCCTCTGGGCCACCCTTCTCTACTCCAAGCCGCCCTCCTCCTACCATTCTCCTTCTCGTACTCCAAGCCGCCCTTCTCCTCTGGGCTACCATTCTCCTACTCCATGCTGCCCTTCTCCTCTCCTCTGGGCCACCCTTCTCTACTCCAAGCCGCCCTCCTCCTACCATTCTCCTTCTCGTACTCCAAGCCGCCCTTCTCCTCTGGGCTACCATTCTCCTACTCCATGCTGCCCTTCTCCTCTCCTCTGGGCCACCCTTCTCTACTCCAAGCCGCCCTCCTCCTACCATTCTCCTTCTCGTACTCCAAGCCGCCCTTCTCCTCTGGGCTACCATTCTCCTACTCCATGCTGCCCTTCTCCTCTCCTCTGGGCCACCCTTCTCTACTCCAAGCCGCCCTCCTCCTACCATTCTCCTTCTCGTACTCCAAGCCGCCCTTCTCCTCTGGGCTACCATTCTCCTACTCCATGCTGCCCTTCTCCTCTCCTCTGGGCCACCCTTCTCTACTCCAAGCCGCCCTCCTCCTACCATTCTCCTTCTCGTACTCCAAGCCGCCCTTCTCCTCTGGGCTACCATTCTCCTACTCCATGCTGCCCTTCTCCTCTCCTCTGGGCCACCCTTCTCTACTCCAAGCCGCCCTCCTCCTACCATTCTCCTTCTCGTACTCCAAGCCGCCCTTCTCCTCTGGGCTACCATTCTCCTACTCCATGCTGCCCTTCTCCTCTCCTCTGGGCCACCCTTCTCTACTCCAAGCCGCCCTCCTCCTACCATTCTCCTTCTCGTACTCCAAGCCGCCCTTCTCCTCTGGGCTACCATTCTCCTACTCCATGCTGCCCTTCTCCTCTCCTCTGGGCCACCCTTCTCTACTCCAAGCCGCCCTCCTCCTACCATTCTCCTTCTCGTACTCCAAGCCGCCCTTCTCCTCTGGGCTACCATTCTCCTACTCCATGCTGCCCTTCTCCTCTCCTCTGGGCCACCCTTCTCTACTCCAAGCCGCCCTCCTCCTACCATTCTCCTTCTCGTACTCCAAGCCGCCCTTCTCCTCTGGGCTACCATTCTCCTACTCCATGCTGCCCTTCTCCTCTCCTCTGGGCCACCCTTCTCTACTCCAAGCCGCCCTCCTCCTACCATTCTCCTTCTCGTACTCCAAGCCGCCCTTCTCCTCTGGGCTACCATTCTCCTACTCCATGCTGCCCTTCTCCTCTCCTCTGGGCCACCCTTCTCTACTCCAAGCCGCCCTCCTCCTACCATTCTCCTTCTCGTACTCCAAGCCGCCCTTCTCCTCTGGGCTACCATTCTCCTACTCCATGCTGCCCTTCTCCTCTCCTCTGGGCCACCCTTCTCTACTCCAAGCCGCCCTCCTCCTACCATTCTCCTTCTCGTACTCCAAGCCGCCCTTCTCCTCTGGGCTACCATTCTCCTACTCCATGCTGCCCTTCTCCTCTCCTCTGGGCCACCCTTCTCTACTCCAAGCCGCCCTCCTCCTACCATTCTCCTTCTCCTCCACTCCTCTGGGCTACCATTCTCCTTCTCCTACTCCATGCTGCCCTTCTCCTACCATTCTCATTCTCCAAGCCGCCCTTCTCCTACCATTCTCCTTCTCCTCCACTCCTCTGGGCTACCATTCTCCTTCTCCGACTCCATGCTGCCCTTCTCCTCTCCTCTGGGCCACCCTTCTCCTCCTCTCCTCTGGGCTACCATTCTCCTTCTCCTACTCCATGCTGCTTTTCTCCTCCCCAGCTGTGCTCCCCTTCTCCACAACTCTATGCTCTCTTCTCCTCTTCCCAGCTGTGCTCCCCTTCTCCACAACTCTATGCTTCCCTTCTACTCTTCTAGCCAGCTGTGCTCCCCTTCTCTACAACTCTATGCTGCCCTTCTACTCTTCTAGCCAGCTGTGCTCCCCTTCTCTACAACTCTATGCTGCCCTTCTACTCTTCTAACCAGCTGTGCTCCCCTTCTCTACAACTCTATGCTGCCCTTCTACTCTTCTAACCAGCTGTGCTCCCCTTCTCTACAACTCTATGCTGCCCTTCTACTCTTCTAGCCAGCTGTGCTCCCCTTCTCTACAACTCTATGCTGCCCTTCTACTCTTCTAGCCAGCTGTGCTCCCCTTCTCCACAACTCTATGCTTCCCTTCTCCCCAGCTGTGCTCCCCTTCTCCACAACTCTATGCTGCCCCTTTTCCACTTCCTCCTGCTCCCCTCTTCTGTGCTCCTCTTCTCCTTTTCCATCCTCTCTGTAGACATTTGCTAGCCCATTCAAAGGCACATTACAGTTGAAAAGAAAATATTCATGGAAAGGAACAGTAAGCACCTAAAATCCTTGTTTTTGTTTTCCTGCGCCCTCACCTGTAATTGATAAAATTGGTGACAGGGTCTCTTTATAGGAAACCTGTGCCATGCGAATGACATGGTCTGCTGCTAATGCTCTCTACATTGTAGTTACCTGGCTGTCTCTGGGTTCCCAGGTGTGCAGCCGGTGAAGTGTGACAGGACTCCTGATCCGCTTACTTGTTTTGGGTCAATTATTGCAACGTAGAAGAACATGGATCAGCATGACAGCCAGGCCGCCAACATTGTCCGCAGATTCTGCGTTTATTTTTCTCAGCACAGCAGATATTTCATTCTCTTGTTTTGGAGACAAAGAGGAAAGATAAAATCAAATGTGTTGGGTAGAATTTGGCCGCCAGTTGGCAACCGCAAATATCAGTCCACGGCACGATAATTGGCGGATTAGAATGGTGGTGTTCCGTGCTATGTTCTGCGCCCCTGCCAGCGGCTCTCTCTTTATTTTTGTAATAACAATCGGCTCCTGAAATGATTTCCTCTGGATCCCTTCCAAGAAGCATTGCCTGCTGAAATAATACACCTCCGGTACTGGCTGTGCACACCTGGGACAAGAAAAAAGGCTCCATATATGAAGCAGAACTGTCTGTGGTGCCTAGAGAGGCCAATCAGGTGCACAGGATAGACCAAAGAGACACCAGAAAGATCTGGTGACTGCATTAGTTTTTCTTTTTTCAAGATTCGCACTTTATTTTCACCTGGTATTCCTGCAAATAACACTTAGGGCTTCAATCAGAAAAGTTGTGCAGCCATTCGCACAGCACCTGCACCCCCCGGATGACTCGTCAGCACCACTGTTGTGCAAGTTACATCCTGGGCAGAACTTAGTATTTATTTCCAATGCTCCTCGGCGCCAACTAGTGGCCATAATGTAGTACTGCATGCCCCCAAACATATATTAAGAGTATTCATTTTGGCATTAATCGGCCAAAAAAGAACAATTACAGCTTTTCCCAGGGTGAAGGGTCCTGCAGATTGTTCACAGCAGACCCCATAGAGTGGAGTTTTGCTCTATGAGTTATATTTTATACATCGTACTTATATGAAATGTGTCATTGGAATACTGACGTCCTGGTCCCTCTGTTTGCAGATGCGAGGCTCGGGTCTGGATGTTCACACTGCTGGCGGGAACGTGCTTCCTGTACTGCGCCCGCTCCAGTTTGCCTATCTGCGCCGTGTCCATGAGTGAGCAGTTTGGGTGGAACAAGAAGCAGACCGGATTAGCTCTGAGCAGCTTCTTCTGGGGGTACTGCCTGACGCAGATCGCCGGAGGTCATCTGAGCGACAAGTGAGTAGCTAGAGGTGGAAACCCCGAAACAAAAGCCATCTGTGTGCACTTTGCCCTGCCAGCAGTGGCCTGGCACTGTAGGGGTGACCTTATGGCCACGGGTATTTGTTGTGCTCGCTGTTGCTTGCAGAAATTTCCCACCGTGATGGAAACTCTTGACTTTAGCGACCGGTTTTCTTTAAAGGGGCGAACCCGAATGGTTGCTGAATCTTTTCAATTCTCAGATGTGAGGGTCACCCTGCCCTCTTCCTGCTGTAAAGTGTCTGTCTTCCTTCTCCAGAGTCGGCGGGGAAAGGGTCCTCCTCGTGTCTGCTCTACTATGGGGGCTCATCACCATTGCCACCCCTCTGGCCGCCCATGCCACCACAGCGTCTCTCCACCTGGTCAGCTTTCTGCGCTTCCTAATGGGACTATTACAAGGTGAGACCCGGGCAGATAGGACTTTATGGGTTATGGTAAAGGGGCCCATTCAATGCACACCGTAAAGCAAACCTTCCCATATTTTCATCATGTCCAGGACTAAGGAAGGCATCTGCTCCACGGCTCTGTATGAATCAATGTCTAAAGCACTAGGGGCCCCAGATAGTCACATGTAGGGCAAAGTAACAGGTTTTTTTAATAGGCCACCACCCCCATCCATTGATACTTACCTTGGTCTTGCTTCCCCATTGCTCTGTTCATCTGACGAAGCCTTGGGAAATTCCCAGGCATGGGAGAGTATTCTCCCCCTTAAGCCCTAAATGCTGTGCTTGGGTCTGGGCAGCCAATCGCTCCGTAACAGTCTGTGTTGTACACATGTTTCTGAAAGGTGAATGAAGAG